AAGTCCCAGAGATAAAGAATTCCAGTTATTTTTTAAAAAGCAAAAATGACCAATATGAAGACAGGATGGAAATACATGATGATTTACTCAAAGAAATCTTTAAAAAAAGATAAGAGAGCAAGAAAAATTCATCCAACAGCTACTAGATAATGCTAAGATTAAACTAAGATCAATTAGCAAGATTAAAAGCATGCACGATTTAAACTCAAAGCAGAGTTTTAAAATATAAATGAAATAACTTTTTCCCTTGAATGTGACTATCTTATTTTAAAACTTATTAATTAAGCTTAGAGTATAACAGATATTTGTGGAAGATGACTTTAAAATTATTTTAGGTACCAAACAGATTTTTTTCTAAATAGGAAAACTTTTTCATCAAAACTACTATTTATTTCATTTTACATTTTCAAGCAGGTCGTGTGACATGCTGATGACTGAGGTCTCTTGAAATTGAAGAAAAGGAAATTTTTCTATCTCAGGAGCAATGCCCTTATGGATATAAATATCAGTTTACTGGAATACGTATGGAATGTGTGATTCTGGTTGACTAAAGATTAACTAGAAAACATTCAGTAGTAACTACTACAGAAAGGAACTTCTACCCACAAAATTACAGTATGCCAGAGATAAATTAATGCAGGATTTGGAGGTTTGAGGCATTACATATGTCTTCTGTGTCACAATGAACAGTTGAAACTGAATACAGCTATAAAAGATACAATAAACAGGACTCATTACTGACACTGGAAAATCACCTGGAACTTTAAAGAATAAATATATTATCCTTTTGTAAAAATGAATCAAAGCAAAAAAGTGTTTAAGTAAGAGGGGAGGATTCAACATTGTGTAAGTTAGGTTTACAGAATGTCAAATAACTACTATGATAAAACAAGCTCTTGTGACACAACAGTCAAAAATCTCAGAAGTCCAGCACACACAAAAAAAAGAAGACTAAAAGCTGTCAAAGTGAGTAGTTTGAGGTAAAACGCTTCAAACCCTTAAAGAAAACAGTTCCTCCCCAGAATAATATATCCTGCAAAACTGTCTTTCAGAATTGATACACAATAAGGAAATCCCACAACAAAGAACATCTTAACAGATATATTAACAACACACCAGTATTACAAAAAATACTCAAGAATAGCAGAGAAATAAAGCAAATGAAGCCAGGTAGGTGAATAGTTTAACAAAAGGAAAAATACAGGAGTCAACAAAGGAAAGATAAAGCAATGACAGAAATAAGATAATACCTTTTAGTAAAAACTCTTCAATTAACAGATATAAATGGGTAGACTGGATTAAAAAAAAAAACAGAACTGAATGATGGTCTGTTACATTCAGGAGTCTTATCTAATAAAAAAATCCTAGATTAAAAACCAAAAAATGAAAAACTACATCCATGTAGTAGGACACTGAAAGCAAGCAGAGCTAGCATTTTATTCTGAGACAAAGTAAACTTCAAGCAAAAACTTATCAAAAGGGGCAAAGAAGGTCACACTACACATTAGTCAAAGGAAGAAACTAACAGGAAGAGATAAGAATTATAAATACATATGAACCAAATATCAGCACATCTAAATCCATAAACACTACTGGATATAAAAGATCAACATGAACATGAACATAATCATAATGTGTGAAAGGAATAACTCATTTTCACAGTAGATTAAACATAAAAATTAACAAAGAATTACCAGAGATGAACCACACCTTTAAACAATGGACTTAATAAATATCTACAGGATTTTCTACTCTACTAAAAGAGAATACACATTCTTCTCACAACACACATGGAACCAATTTAAACATATACAAAAAAATCAAGATCATCCTATGGATAACAGCAGATCATAGCACACAAACTAGAAGTCAATCAAAAGAAATTTTACAAACCCTTGGACAAAGAACTATACTCTTGAAAACTCAGTGGATCAAAGTAGAAATTAAGTAACAAATTAGACAATTTCTAGAATCAAATGATAAGGCCACTAAACCCCACTAAAATGTGTGCAACACAATGAAAGAAAGAAGATTATTTCTGTGAATGCTTACATTAGAAAAAAAGAAAGCTCAAGTAACTTAACAATACACCTCAAGAAACTATAAGAATAAGAACTTCTAAACATAGTAGAAGAGAGGAAATCATAAAGACCAGACTAGAAGTTTATGTAATTCAAAGTTTTAAAAAATACAAAGAATCAGTGAATTGAAGAGTTGGTTCTTTGAAAGCATAAATAAAATAGGCAAACCCCTAGCCTAACTTACCAACAGAAGGAAAGAGAAAAATTCATATTAATGGATTTGAAATGAAAAAGCTGAGATGCAATTAGATATAAAAAAGGCAAAATCACAGCAGACACCAGTATAATCCAAAGATCATTAATGAGTACTATAAAAATTGTACTCCAACAAATTGGAGAAATGAAAAGATTCCTTGACATATCTGAATTGCCAAAACTTAACCAAGAAGACATAAAATCTCTGAAAATCCAATAACTAGCAATAAAATTGAGGCAACAATTTAAAAAAAACAAAGCAAAACTACCAACTAAGAAATCCCGGAGGGGATTCACTGTTGAATTCTACAAGATCTTCAGGAAGGATATAATGCCAACAATTCTCAACTCCCTAATGAAACTGACAGGGGGAAAAGTACACCCAAAACTTACTCCTGGAAGCTAGCATTACCCTGATTCCAAAACCTACCAAGAATCCAATTAAAAAAGAACACTATAGATCAATCCCTTTAATGAACATAAATATAAAAGTTCTCAAGAGGATATATAATGAAACAAGTGACCAAAAAGATCATACATCATGGCCAAGCAGGTTGCAATGATGGTTCAACATAACACAAATCAATAAATGTAATAAATATACCAGAAAAGACAAAGATCACACGATCACATCAATAGATCCACAAAAGGCTTTTGATAAAATCCAACATTCACTCATGATGAAAAAAAAAAGTGAAGCAAATAAGTACAGAAGAACCATATTTTACTCTGATAGAAGATACTTATAACAGGGCTGGGGATTTAGCTCAGTGGTGCCGCACCTGCCTCACAAGCACAAGATCCTGAGTTTGATCCCCTGTACCAAAACAAAAAACAAACAAACAAGATATTTGTGACAAACCAACAACCAACATCATTTTAGATGGGGAAAAGCTGCAAGCTTTCCTTTTAAAATTAGGAACATTCATCAGTTGATGAACACTAAGGTGAAATCCATTTTTTGGTTATTGTGAATAATGCTGTAGTAAACAAAAGAATGTAATGTCTCTTTGCTGTGCCGATTTCATTTTCTTTGACTATATACCCAGTTGTGGGGTTGCTGGGTAATATGGCAGTTCTATTTTTAATTTTTAAAAGAAACTCCATAATATTTACTATAATGACATGCTAATTTACATTGTAAAAAATTGTGTAAGTGTTCCCTTTTCACGTGAAAATACTCTAAATCCAGAAGAATCCTTTGAATAATTTGAAACTGGGAGTTTTGCATATAAAATAGCTATGGGGTACATGAAGATTTATAAAACAGTTAGGGATACTTCTTAAGGTCTAGTGAGATAATTTTAAGAACTTCTATCCTCTGTGTTATTTGCTTCTATTGTAGACTGTGATTTTGACTAGAAGCTTCTATTACAGCACAGCTTACCAGAGTGTAAATTCCCTAACGTCAATTTAATTGACTAATGTCATATGAGGCCCCAGATTGCTCCAGTAGTTGAATACTTCTTTTTTTCTGCTGGCTCTTTCCTGCCATTAAACAGACAGAAGTCTACTTCATCTTTGTAAAGCAGAATGTCTCTTTTATTACCATGTCTGCCCTCTGGCTATTACCTCTACCTCTTTCAGTCAAGGTCCTTAAAAATGTGATTCATATATTTACTGGTTCATTTTTTCTCTATCTTGTTTGTACTTCACTTCATCCTCTCAGCAGCATCAGATACTGTGTTCACTCCTTCCTGAAATACTTTTATCAAGTCACTCACTTGTTTTGGGAATAGTGGCTATCTTTTATTATACTTTCCACTATTTAATCTGCCTCAATTCCTCGAAGAGTACAATTTTTACTTCCTATTTTTGAGAAAACATAATGGAAATGCAGTGTGAATAAGGAACTTGTCAAAAGTCACATAGTTAATTTCTGGAAATGAAAATAAGATTATTGTATTCCATAGTCTATATACTTATGATGGTTTAAATACGAAGTATCCACCAAAGACTCCTCTATTGAGGAACAGATGTTCAAAAGGAGATGTGATTGGATCAGGAGGCTGTAACTTCACCCAGTAATTAATCCCTCAGGGAGATCATTAGCTCAATGGGCTCCTGGGAGGTGGAGCCTCCTTGGAAGAAGCAGTCACTGGGGATCCACCTCAGAAGGGTATGCAGTATCTTGAGGGTATGCTGTATTTTGGTCAGCCCCTTCGTCTCTCTGGCTTTTTTGCCCTTTCTCTGCTTCCTGGCTGCCAGAGCTGAGCAGCTTGCCTTCACCACAGCCTCCTGCCATGACACTTCTTCCTCTCTAAGGCCTAGAAGCTGACCAGGAGCCCAAATAAACATTTCCTCCTCTAAGTGATTTTCTCAAATATTTGGTTACAGCAGAAAAAGCTGAGTAACACACTGTTTATGTTACCCAAAAGAGTACCTATTCAAAAGGTCAGGAGCCAGTTTGTTTTGTCCTCCACTGATATATAACTTAATATTAACTTGTACGTGTTCTTAACTACCAGCAAGATTGAGGGTTCCTAAGCCATTTCTTAAAATCATCTACATATATGCTTAATTTTAGGAATTAGGAATAAAGGGAATAAAAAGCCAAAAGGAAAAATAGGTACATGTGTAAACTCACATAATGGCACTAAACATTTTTAATTAAAATTAGTAGTAAGTGCTCTCAATTGTCAATTTACGTTCATTAGGTAAGTTTACTTTCAGGTGTGACCGAAGGCCCTTTTCCCCATTACAGCCCTGTTTTCTAAAACTCACCATATTAGGTGACTGAGGTATTAATCTTTTTCCCGTCGTGTTCCCTTTCCAGTTCTCTCCACTCAGCAGTCCCCATTCCAGGGCGTGGTTCTGTGGTACTGACTCTGGGAAGTACACGGCAGGACAAACTGCAGAAGTGACAGCAAAGTCTTTCAGATTTTCTCTTTTTCAGAAAACCCCTCAAAAGGAAAAGGCCACGTGAACAGCTACTCTGCAAGAGCTGACTGTGCACCCCACCTTACACCCCTTTACTAAACAGACCCTTCTCACGTGTAACAGTCTAGAGTCATAAAGGGAAGGCGAGCTCAGCAGTTCAGGCAATTTATTTTTCCACCCGAAGAGGAAGAGGCTGACATTAAATTCCTTAGAGCAAATGCTCCAAGCGTTTGGAATCTCAGAAGCTCAGCAGAGTTATGTATCTACTCTAAACAGTCTGCTCTTAACAGTCTGCCATACAACTTTGGTGTGAAATCATTAACAATACTACACCAGGGCTGGGGATTTAACTCAGCAGCACAGCGCCTGACTGGCAACCACAAGGTGCTGAGTTCGAATCCCAGGACTAAAACAAACAAAAACGACACTGATTCTTAAATTTAGATTTCTTTTAAAAAATGAATTCACTACATTGGTAAAGGGTCAAGAAATTACACAGGCCAACTCCATTACAGTATTTAATAAAATAACAAACAAGACAAAGATTAATTGATCTCCAAACCTTGCAAAGAGAACCCTCTGGAATTTAATAAAGCACACCATAGAGAAGCTACCACCTGATTTTGAAAAAATCAAACCTTGGCTTTTTTTAAAACTCGTCACTGTATTTTTAACAAAAAGTAAGAAAGAAAGAGCGAGCCAGAACTCCCAGGAACCAGTAAACTGCACAGAACAAAAACTCCCAGTACGTTCTGGAACGACATACCGGCCTTCTCTGGATGGTGTCAGATTGACCTGCCCCAGGCAAATGTTGGCCAGAGGTTTTTGGGTCCGGCCCCCATCTGGAATGAACGCACTTTGGGAAATCCTCCAATAAGAGGCCTTTAGAGGTAAGGGCGTGTTCTCAAGGGGGCGGAGAATTGGGCTCCGAAAAAAAAAAATGGGAAGTGTACGCTGATTGGCTGAGCATCTTGCCTCTACGACTCAGCCTTCTTTGGACTGTGGAGGCCATCAGTCAAAAAGACTACACCAATCAGGGGCGAAAATGCTATTCGCGGGAAAGCCCCGCCCCCAATATACCTTATTACTTCGGAGACCAGGCGCAGCCACTTCGCCGCGGTCAGACAGGGAGGAGGGTGGCGTAGTCTACGGCGCTGCGGAGACCCTCACCCGGCACAATTCTCCCTCCCCGGGCCTCTCCCCTTCTGCCCCCGAGTGTCCTCGCCTCCTAGGCCTCCCGTATCCGATACCTTGGGGCGAGGTGAGAGCAGGCCCGGGGAGGGTGGTCACGCAGAGGAGCCGCGGTCTCTACCAAGGTGAGCTGGGATTCGGGGTCGAGCCTGGTGCGGGTGGGGAGCAGGGTTGGAGTAGGTCTGGCCCGCGCCTTTTTCCTGTTCGTGTGGAGCACAAGCCCGGGCAAGTCGGAGCCTGGAGGGGCGGAGCCGCTACGTCCTCAGGAGGTGTCTTCGCGTCCCTCCAGCCCCGTGCTAGTAGCGAGCTGACACACTGAAGTTCGTGGTTCCTCGCCTGTCCAACCCTAGGATCCCCTGCCTTCCTGTGTTTAAATTGATGTAAGGAGGGACCGTCTGCGAATGCAGGACTTAGCTTGTGCCTGTGTTTTGCGTGCTTACATTAATGGAATTTTCAGATTTCTTACGCAGCAGACCAGGTTATATCGCCCCGCGACGTGTTCCCCATCCCGTTAATTGTCCTTCACTAACACTGATAAAACTTAACTGTTGGGTGCTAAGTACTGTGCTAGACTCAAGTGAATCCTCTTGTGTAATCTTTACAGCCGTTGGAAAAAACGGATACTGTATGGTTACCCTCATTTTACAGATGGAGAAGCTCATTATTACTGTCCATTAAGCACCTACCTATATGCTCAGCTATGTGGTTTCATTTAATCTATACAAGGCTCAAGATAGGTAATAAGCCTCTTTCCCACTTTACAGATGAAGAGTTAACTTGAGCGGTTCTCTTTATTAATACATGACAATACATACTACCATCTGACTTCAGTTTTGTTACCCTGTCTTACAGTGTGTATTAGTTTTCATTTGACAATGAATAACTTGAAGTATTTCTTGAAGTTTTGTAGTTTTTTTTTTAAAGTATAGTTCTGTCCTGAAAGAACTCACAATTTAAGATGTGACCAAATTGTAGAAGAGAAAAAAGTAACAGCAGTTTACACTAAATTAGATTCAGTGTCCCCACTGAGGGAGAAAAGACATGTATTTTAAAAAGTGCTTTATGATAAAGTACAAAATCTAGAAGGCTAAAGAGAGTGGGAAGGGCTACTCTTAACACTCCATTCTGGATTTGTTCTATATATAGATGATAGAAGTCCTGACAACTGACTCCCAGAAACTGCTACACCAGCTGAATACCCTGTTGGAACAGGAGGCTAGATGTCAGCCAAAGGTCTGCGGCTTGAGACTAATTGAATCTGCACATGATAATGGCCTTAGAATGACTGCAAGACTGAGGGACTTTGAAGTGAAAGATCTTCTTAGTCTAACCCAATTCTTTGGCTTTGATACGGAAACATTTTCTCTAGCTGTGAATATACTGGACAGATTCCTGTCAAAAATGAAGGTATTTTTTTAACTTACAGTACCGAATATCCTAATTTTTTTCAGTGTATTTTAGAGATAGAATTGCTGGTTTTTGCCTGATATTCATAAGCTTAACCTTTTGCATTTTCAGTGAGTAATCAAAACACTGTGGTAATTCTGTATACTGTAATATTAATATGCTTATTGTAATGAAGAGTAATGCATCTTTTATTATTTTCTGAGATGGAATATAGTCTAATATCAAATAGTTATTTGCAGAATCTTACAGTAGGAAAATTGGCTGTCTTTAAAAACTTTTTCTTGGTAGCTTGGACATTTCCATTTATTTATAGTTTTCAGATTTAAAGAAGTTTGTTAGAGGTAGAATTCTAGATTGTAGTTAGGAATTAGGATATTAATCACTATCCACTATAAAGTTCTAATTGTTTCCAGCCTCAGTGTACTTGCAATAGAGGAGCTTTCCTGTTACTTTCCTATACTGAATAAATAAGACATCTGATAGCTTTTAAAGCTTAAGTGTTAAAAAATACATCTGCCTTCCGTGTCTACCCAAGAGCACTGCAAAATAATGAGATGCTACAATTAGAGTAAAACTCACATTGTAGTCCTTAGTATACAGAATGAACTCATTATTTGTACTGTTTTGTTTTTTTGAGACAGGGTCTCACTATGTAGTTGAGACTGACCTGGAACTCACTATGTAGCCCAGGCTGGTCTCAAACTCACTGTGATCCTCCTGTCTCAGCCTCTCGAGAGCTGGGATTACAGGTGTGCACCACCACGCCTGGCAAACTCAGTATTTGTAAAATTGAATGGTTCAAAAAATTAACAGATGAAAGAACTGACATTTACTATGTGTTGGTACTACCTGGGAATCAATAAATGTTGCACAAATGAATGATACACAGATGTCCTTCGAGTATAACAGTGTTATGTGAGAATGAGGTGATTACAAAGATAACTACATAGAATGCAAGTCATAAGAACAATATTTACATTATGCCTTTATAGAGGCAGAGTGTACAGCGGGAGGTCACAAGGGAGGGAAAGAACACAGATATCTGTGTAACCTTCAAGTTTCATTTGAGTTGGAACATAAAGACTGGAGAGAATTGAGAATGTGCTTTCCACTCTAGACATTTGGAAAATAAGGGAGAAATTGGTAGAGGCCAGAACTTCAGGGGCAGAGTGAAGAGTAAGTGTTAACATTATTTTAAAACTATTTTATAGGTGTTACTATAAAGAAAACAGCCTGGAAAAACACAATATCTGGGAAAGATGATTTGTGAATAACATATAATGTGTTTGGGTCTTTATGTTAAGGAACTGACCAGGTAACTTATTTGGCTGAATTAGAACAAAGTGTTTGCTTATAGTTCTATTCTGATTAAAACTCAGTAAGAAATTTTTATGCTGAAACCAAATGGTTCCAAGTGGGGTGTGCAGTGACAGGCTACATTTGTTTAGGAATGGGTAAATGTTGTTAAATCCATCACAGCTAAGAAATATCTCAGATAACATTTTCATAATGGTAGGTTTTACTTCTAGATTATCCTTTAATGGAAATAAAATAGAGATATAGTCTTTCTATTTTCAATTTTGTTTTTAGGTACAGCCGAAGCACCTTGGGTGTGTTGGACTGAGCTGCTTTTATTTGGCTGTAAAATCAATAGAAGACGAAAGAAATGTCCCATTGGCAACTGATTTGATCCGAATAAGTCAGTATCGGTTCACGGTTTCAGACTTGATGCGAATGGAAAAGATTGTATTGGAGAAGGTGTGTTGGAAAGTCAAAGCTACCACTGCCTTTCAATTTCTACAAATCTATTATTCACTCATTCAAGAGAACTTGCCATTTGAAAGGTATGTGACCTTTGTTTTGAATATAGTAAGTTTGAAAATCAGAATGGTACTGCCAGGGTGTTTGCTAAAATCCATATTCTTTTAGAATTCTGTAAAAACCCATGTTTGCTGGCTTCAAGAAGTTATTATCTCTGATGGGAGGGAACTTAATTCAAATAATTTTCTTTTTATAATAAATGTGCATAAGCTTTAATTTAAAAACTGATTTCAGGGCCAGGAATTCAGCTCAGTGTTTCAGCTGCCTGCCTTGCAAGCACAAGGACCTGAGTTCGATCCCCGGTCCCAAAAAAATAAAAACTGACTTCAGTATTTTTTAAATGTCTCCAATTAGATGTAATCTACATAAAATCAATCCCATTTTATTTTTAAAGGAAAAATAGCCTAAATTTTGAAAGACTAGAAGCTCAGCTTAAGGCATGTCACTGCAGGATCATGTTTTCTAAAGCAAAGGTAAGTATTTTATAAAGATTACAGCTTTTTATATAGATCTATTTTTATATTTATATTTGACATTTATGTTATATTTATCTCCTCTAGCCTTCTGTGTTGGCTTTATCTATCATTGCACTGGAGATTCAAGCACAGAAGTGTGTAGAATTAGCAGAAAGAGTAGATTGTCTTCAGAAATATTCCAAGGTATGTCAGGTTCCGTATAAGTCCTCCTATTCACAGCTGCAAAAAGAAACTTAACCACTTTCACTGTCTCCTGAAGTAAAATGAGTTGTCATGAGTCTGTATGAAATTTAAGTAGCTTGTCTCAATTTTTTTTTTTTTTTTTTTTTTTTTTTTTTGTGTAAAAAAATGATGCCCAGGATTTAGCTCAGTGGTGCCACCACATCCCTCCCAAGCACAAGGTCCCCAGTTCGAACCCTGATACCAAAAAAAAAAAGAAAGAAAGATGTATTATGTACATGTACCAACTCCTTGCACTGAATTATGTACTGCAAACGTACCAATAGAAATCTTAGAATTATTAAAAATTGTTAAGAAAGAAAAACATATTAGGGCTGGGGATTTAGCTCAGGGGCACAGGTATACTGGATCCCCAGCACCAAAAAAAAAAGAAAAGCGTGTTAACAGGATTGTATTTATTATTATAATTAAATACAGTAGAACTTTTAATTGATTTAATAATATTTATGAATTTATGTACAGATAAATGGCAGAGATCTGACCTTCTGGCAAGAGCTTGTATCCAAGTGTTTAACTGAATATTCATCAAACAAGTGTTCCAAACCGAACGTTCAGAAGTTGAAGTGGATTGTTTCTGGGCGTACTGCACGGCAACTGAAGCATAGTTACTATAGAATAACTCACCTTCCAACAATTCCTGAAACGGTTTCTTAATTGGTAAATTTGTTTGTTATTCCCTGTGTAGAGAAAATTGTATAATTGTCTTGTACAACGGAAGCATTGAAATTGTATCTTCAAAATAAACCAAATGGACTTGGAATAGCAAAAGGGAAAAACTCGTATCACCAATCTAGTCAACTAACATTTGAAAGTATTCACTGTATATAAGGTAGAAGACCCTAAGGGCTGGGCATGGTGGCACATGGCTGTAATCCTAGCACTTGGGAGGCTGAGGCAGAAGGATCACCATGAGTTGCGGCCAGCCTAAATTACATAGCAAGACCCTGTTTCAAAAAACAAAACAAAACAAAAAAAACCTTAGGAGTTTCCAATGTCTTATAGGTTAACCATTTCACTAAATTAGCAGCATAGAAAACAACATCCTCTTTAATAACCCGAATTTGTAAGGTAGTGCTAAAGTAATGGCTTTTTTAATTGCACATTTTGCTAAATGTAGCCCTAAGCTCTAGATCATTTAAAGTTATAATAGGACCAAAAGTTTGATCTATATGTGAACTAATTTGAGACTGTTAGCTTATAAGCAGAATCATTATATACTTCCAAGTTATACCTAAAGAAAGCAGATGATCGCCTTTTCGGTTATGAAAATTGCCAGTTTGTCTCCACATACTGCTACTGCACTTGGAAAAATAGAAAGTAATTATATTTATAAAAAATACAAATTCAGTCACTACATATATTTTATGTTCTTGCCATCTAAATTATTAACATACAGTAATGATTTATCTTTTCCTACTCAAAACTAAATGTTAATATTTAACACATCTACCTACGCTGATGAAACTTAGATATGAAAAATTTACTTTTGGGCCAGGGATTTATCTCAGCAGTTCTGCCGCCGGCTTCACAAACACAAGGATCTGAGTTCGATCTCCGGTACCAAAAAAAAGAAAAATTTAATTTTAACAGCTAGTAGTATTGAGATAAACTTTTGATAAGTTGGAGGTTTTTGTTCTTTACATAAATAGTATTGCAGCAACAAAAAAATGTCTTTGCAGCCTTTCTCCACAGCCCTGAGCTATGGATTCCATAATGTTATAATGGCTTTAAGTCATGAACCCTGAAAACATCACTAGATTTGTATGATTTTTGCCATCTTTGGAAAACTGCCTAATTAATACAGTGCTGCAGTAGGAATGTTTAGATTTGAATTCATCTATAAAGCTAAAGATATAAATGTGAAACACTTAATACAAGCCTGAAAAGGTGAACTGTGAATCTTCATTTCTAACATTAATTTAATTTTCTATACTGGATCAGTATTTTTAGGTGATACTGAAAACAGTAACCTACTTGACTTAAATGTTAAATTTTAAAATATGAGGTTTACATCAAAACCAACGTTTCACACATGCACTTTTTTAAGGCATAATAAAGGTTATATTCTAAATAATGTAATGTTTTTTTGGCACCCATAATAGAAGTAATAGTTCAGAGATGAGAATATTCTTGCTATATGGGAATTACATTTAAATTTTAAAACATTTTGTATTAAGCCAAAATACAGACCAACTACTACATTTGGTATCTTCATTGAGCTATCTTTAATGTTTCTTCTAAAAAAACAGGTGATACTTGTATCAATGATAAAAGTTTCTATACAGAATATACTTCCTCAGTGTAGTTGCATTAAAAAAATATGTTCTATTTACATAGGAAGTCAAAATCAGTTATCTCTGAACTTTCTTTACCCCCAGTTCTAGCTAGATAAAGCACTCCAGGTTTTACTATGGATTACTTCTATAAAACTGCCATTGCCTCCACTTTGTTTTGTTTTGTTGTTTTTTAAGAAATAGAATATACTTTCAAAAATTTCCACAGTGTGTCTGAAGAAAAGTGAGGAGGTACTGCTATAATTTTGAGATTGCTGAGGTAGTGTTTGGAATTCTCCATGTGAGCCTGTCAATGTAAGGAGATGTACATGTATTGTTAGTGTTGTAAACAGTGCACCCTGAAGCCTGAGTCTATCCAGAATGGATGGAACCAATTTTGACATGTCACTGATAAATAAGCATTGAAAAACAAACCAAAGAACCACAGTATATTCTACCTTTACCTTTTTGTAAACCATGTTTGTGGATACCTTCTGTTTTACCATAAGGCTGATATATTTCAATATTTTGAAAACATCAGTATAAGTTCTGAGTTGGCAGAGGTAACCTAATCAACTACCATTATGTTTGGTACTAAGAGATACACCTTTCAATAAAATTATTAGAATGCAATCCATTACTGAATAGTTTTGTTTCTTTTCTGATTTATTTTAGCAATGTGACAGTGATAAAGGGCTATCCGTATATTTAAATTTTACTCTAAAGATGCATGGAAGCAGAAACAATAAAATATTTTTAACAATTACCTACCTTTTACTTTCTAACTTTTTAGACACAAGATAAGTATGTTTAATGTACATTAAAAACGTTGCACAATTAGTCACTTTTATTATTTAGGTTGAGTACTGCTATGGGTGTCCTACAAATTTACCCTGAAGTTTTGTTCAAACTCTTGTCACATAATTAGTGTTTCAGCAGGATGGTTAGCAGGGTGGTCAGTCAACTCAGTAACAGCATTGGGTTAGTCTGCTTGGATCAAATGGTAATTATTATTGAACAAAAACAGTTATGGTTCTGAACTATTCATGTTTAACAGAAATTAACAAGATATAAAGTAGTCATTGCAAGAAATGACTGGCCAAAATAACTGTTTTGTACTGAACCCCTATTGGGTATATTAAACTCCTGTTTTCACAGTGCTAATTTTAAAAAAGGCTCCTGAATCTTAGTATTTCCAATTATGAGACATTTATCTAAAAGTATTTCTGATGTAACATTTGTAGCTGGCATTGACAGTTTGTACTGTCAGGCACCACTGCCAGATGTTCTATAAGAATCATCTCATGTAATTTTCTCAACTGAATGAAGTGGTCTCAATTTACTAAGGACAGAGGTGCCAAATGATTTGTCTCCAGGTCCTATGTATGTACTTATTGGTGGTGAGAGTCAAATACAGGCATCCAGAAAATAGCCATTCTCTTAGTACTCTGCATATTACCCACCAAAACAGGATTAACTGGATTCATGTGAGATTGTATAATTCCAGTCAATAGTATATGCTGGCTACACTAACTAGTGCTTTTATAGTCATGGCAGAATACTACTCAGGGAATATGCAGAGAAAAAGAGTAACATTTGTAAAATATATCACTGCTTACAAATTGCTAAGTGTACAACATAATTTTCCATAAACTCAAAACAGCAAATAGTAATAAGATTAATTAGAAGATTGAGCCAGTTTTTATCCTAACTCAACAAATGAGTTAGGAGCAACCAAAATTAAGGACAGAGAAGGATATTATATTATGATAAAACAATTCACCAAGATGACATGACATTCTTAAATGTATAAGCACAAATGCCAAAGTTTAAAAATACAGCAAGAACTGAAAGCAATGACAGAAGAAATGGACAAATCTTCAGTTACAGCTGAATAATGCAACTAAATTTAACTGATAAAACATTGTCTTAAAGCAGCTAAGCATTCTTTCCAAGTACACATGGAACATTCATCAAGATAAACTATAACAGAGTGAAGGGAGGGCAGGGGAATAGGGAAAAAATAAGAACCAAGATACATTATGTAAAGGTACATGATCTCGATGAATGTAACTGTATTATATGCTTAAAATGTACCAATAGGGCCGGGGATTTAGCTCAGTGGTTCCGCGGCCTGCCTGGCAAGCGCAAGGACCCGAGTTCAATGCCTGGTACCAAATAAATAAATGTACCAATAAACAATAAAAAAAAAGTAATATAAAAGTAGAAGAAAGACTATTACAGAAGTGGAAGGGAAACAGGGTGGGAGAGGAAAAGGGTAATGGGGAAAATATGGTCAAAAAACACGTTCTGTATAATACCATACATTAATAAAAATAATAGTCTAGAAAAGACAAACTACATCTGTGTCTTAAGCATAAAATTAGAAGTAAATAACAAAAGGAAAATTTTTAATCACTTAGAAATTAAACAAAATTCCACATAATTTCATGGCTCCAAGAAGTCTCAAAAGGAATTACAAAATATTTTAAATGAAATGAAAATGAAAATATCAATGTGTGAGATACAACTAATGTTAGGGAATTGATCATGTTAAAGTATGCTGTGACGCCGCCTCACAGGCTGCACTCTCCTGGTACATCTTGGCTCCTAAAATGACCTCATGCCCTTATCTCTGGTTTCCCTCCTCCCCAAGGTCACAGTGGTCCAGGAAAGTTGAAACCTGTGTCTGCAGGACTGGGCCCATAAAAGCAATCTGGCCTGTGATAGGTTAAAAGTAACTCACTCCTCATAAATAAACAATAGCCCACCCCAAAACTGATAAAAGGACCTTCCTTTCTTTGTTCTCTCTCTCCTGCTTCTTCTTCCTCCTCTCTCTCTGCCTTCCTGCCTCCTGCTCGCCTCCCCACAATAAAGATCTCCTGCCGGACCTCTCGGTGGGTGAGTGGCCTTAGTTGGGAAGGGGCACCCGAAAGGACACGCGAACCCCCTTTCAACTAAACCAGTAAACAAAGAGTAAACTATAAGATGGACTACTTTTGTTTTCTGTTTTTGTTTTTGTTTTTTTTTTTGTACCGGGGATTGAATTTGGCTCCTTGCGCTTGCAAGACAGGCCACTGAACCACTGAGCTAAATCGCCGGCCCAAACCAAAGACTGGGCACCGTTCTCTTTTTTTTTTTTTTTTGCTTGTATTCTTTTGAGGAGGCACTAAAACACACATAACTTTTTTGTATCGGGGATCAAACTCCGGTTTTTGAGCTTGCAAGGCAGGCGGTGGAGCCAATGAGCTAAATCCCCGGCCCTCGACTACTTTTGTTGCATAAGATCTCAAGTCAAAAAAACTTCTAATTTAAGAAACTAGGGAAGTAAAAAGCAAAATAAATCCCAAAATGAGCAAAAGGAAAACAATACAAAGAGGGAAGAAAAAGTCAAATTCACAACAGAGAAAATGAACAAAACCAAAAACATTCTTTGAAAAACAGTAATAAAACGGATGAATTAGCAAGGTTAACAAAGAAGAGCCAAATTACCAATACTAGGTATGAAAGAAGCCAGTCAGGGTGGCAGCTCAGTACTCTGAAGGTTGAGAATAGCAAGTGTGAGGTCAGCCAGAACTACTGTGCATAGTGAGACCCTGTCTTGCACACAGACACAAAAAAATAAAACAAGACAAAATAT